ACTTTTAAAACCATTGTAAATCATTTAAAAACCATTTAAAAACCTTTGTAGGCTTCTAAAACTCTTTAAAAACCATTACAAATCTTTTAAAAACCATTTAAAAACTCTTGTAAATCCCTTTAAAACCTCTTGTAAACCCTTTAAAAGACCCTTTAAAAAATCTTGTAAACCCTTTAAAAAAATTTGGCGGGAAAATTTTGAAAAAATATTTTTTTTTGCGGGAAAATTTTGGCGGAAATTTTTTGGCGGGAAAATTTTTCGTCGGAAAAATTTTTGGCGGGAAATTTTTTTCTCGGAAACTTTTTTGGCGGGAAAATTTTGGCGGGAAAGTTTTTGGCGGGAAATTTTTGGGGGGGGGAAATTTTTGGAAGGAATATTCCTTCATTTGGGAAAGAATATTCTTTCAAATAGGGATAAAATAGCCATTAAAAAATAAGAGAGGGCAAAAATGAAAATGGTAAAAAAAGAGGGTATTTTTAAAAGAGGGTATCATAAAAAGGTTATTGGTATCAATTTCTCAATGAAAAATGATGTACATTCGTTGTTAGTATTTAACAACTTGATTGTCTTTAAAATTGTTTTGCATATAAAATCATTGTGTCTTACTAGTACATATATAGTACTTTAATGATAATAATTGAGCTATATAAGATTGAAATATCATTTGCATTTGATATTTTTTTTTTTTTGTAGTATATCTCTATCACTTGCTGTAATTTGTTTCTTTTTCATATCTAACAAAATTTGATGTACAATACATTTTTTCTCTAGTTAAAAATACACTTAATACAACTGTACTTTGCTAATAAATTACACTTGATTGGTTCTCGAAGCTAGAAAAAAAGTTCGATGGATAGTTTCATTCAACTCTCTCAACTGGTTTTCTTAAGCATATTCAATATTTATGGAAAAGAGAGTGCTGATGCAGTGATGCTGATCTTATAGGGTTTTTTTTTTCTCCCGGGAACTGAAGAACTCTGAAAGATTTATAGTGTCTAATATGCTAGCTATAATTGAAAGATTAGCTCGAACTCAATGTATTGTAAAAAAAAATAAGTCAAATCTTGAATTTGCATAATTTGATGAAATGAGCCAAAGTGTATTTATTGGGGCATTCAATAACAACTATGAAGTATTAAACACTATCAAAATGAGAAAATCAAACTAAAGGACAGCTTTTACATCTCAACAGAAAAGGTCATTTGTATTTAAACCCTATTTTCATTCTCAACGATTTTTTTTTTTTATCTGGTGATATTTGTACCTCAACCAAGTGTTTTATCTACTGAGGGTTATTACTTATTAGCCGATTTCTTTTTCTTTCATGATTAGGCCATGAATGTTTGCAAGTTTTTTTTGTGGTTTTTGAATTATAGTTTTTGGTTTTTGGATTTTAGTTTTTAGTTTATGGTTTTTAGTTTTTGTGTTAAAAACTTTTTAAAAACAAATATAAAAAGAAGTCATAAACTAAAATATAAAAACTCATAAATATAGATTTTAGATTTTCTTTACAAATTGACAAAAAAACCATCAAAATCTAGATTCCCTATATTTAGGAAAACCATTTTGCTCATAATCTTGATTGGCAATAAAGTAGATTTTCTTAAAAACTAAAACTAAAACCAAGTTCAAAATCTACAGCCATTCAAAAAAATCAAGTTCATATATGATCACATCAGATTTTAATATCTACAAAAAAAAATCAGTTTTTAATGTTTTACTATAGTTGATTAAACTTGTACGTAGCAAAAATAGTTTTCGTTTCTTATGGTACTTCCTTTATTCAAAAACTTTCTAACATAACAGCCATCACCAAATTATACTATTAAAAAAAATTTTTTTTTTTTTTTGGTCACCAACTATACTTATTATTTCTATATACAATAAAAAAAAAGGAAGGTTCCAATCAATATACAGTAGGGTCAAACATGAGCGAAAAACATACAACTTAATTAAATTTTAATCCCACTCCCACCTAATCAATTTTAAGCAAAATATATAATGAACTCCCACTTGGAAAATAAAGCTTGATTGGAAAGTAGTGTTATAATTAAGTTTAATATCCAAGTTGTTAAGTTTTCTAACGTGTGAGTGAGGTGTGACTATAATACTCCACAATATAGATCCAAATTAATAATGTAACAAAAGATGCGAACACAGTTAATGGTCTTTGATTAAGTGGAATTAATAAGCTGCATTATTGGTATTAAAAATTACTAATGACGATCCACTTTACCAATAGTTGACCTTAGCTTGAAATGAATTTCATGATTTATGATTTACAAACTACACTGGAGTTTTCCACAACAGACGATCCATTCTATCAATAATTATGTGTTTTTTTTTCGAACAACCAATTAATAATAAATATGTACATTTAAGATATGACATTTTCTTAGTTAATGTTCGTTTCTTTTCACCACTTTTTCGCCCTCGGTTGGCTATCGAACGGAGTCTAGCTCCGACGCAGTGAATTCTAAAAGTGAATTTCATGGGCATTGCCAAACGTAAATAGTGAACAGTTGTAAATCACGAGAGATAACTATATCTTACCACGAGCACATTTCATAGAACACATTGTGCTGTTGTCTGTCGTAAATGTTCTGCCCTGACAAGGGTACTTACAAGAATCACAAAGTGGTCGTGAAAGATTTCCTTTGGCAAGAACTTTGACGTCCTCCTTCCCTTCTACTTTCAAAACTTGACCAGGTTTCACATATAGGTCGTCATCAAATAAGCAGGAAATATGAAGAGTAGTGCAGCAATCCTTGCACCAATAGAATAATTTAGTGCTTGTATCTTTTAAATTACGTTCGCAAGCTTCACACCAATCTTCTTCACACACCTCTTTCCCCCATAATAATGTAAGTAAGTGTTTGTCGAGCTTATACCTTGCTTCGTATGGTAAGGTAGCACACTTGATACAAACAATAAAATCGCATTCAATGCAATTAAATTGTTTACGACATTCTAATTTGCATACCTCACATATTGGCTTGACTTTTGGGTCTAAAGCTAGGAACAAGGGATGTTCATGTCCTTGAAAATGAAATGGCTCAGAAATTGCAGCACACCGTACATCTACACCGAAATCGCATTCCAGTATGGGACATAGATAAATGAGGCCACCACAGACACGAAAACAGGCATCGCAGAAGAAGTTGTAGTCACATTCACTCACGTGGACCAATTTAAGTGGATGAGGATGTAACAAATGTTGTATTCTGCGGCGAGATTTTGCACATATTTCATGGAGGATGAACTCACATTCCAAACAAGAAAAGAGGTTACCTTCAACGATAGGCATAACACAGGCATGGCAAAGCCTGTTTTCATCGTAAGTTATGCTAACCTCAAGCCGAAGATGGTGGCTATGCAGAAAATGAAGTATCACTCCTTTAGATATCACCTCGTACGGCCCAACATCTTGTGTTATATCATCTTCTTCAGGTACACCTTCGAGTTCGACTCCATCCCACACATCTACCCGTAGAGCACATCTTACGTGAACAACATAATCATCACATTTTTCACAAATATATGCACCATAGTCACGATCAATACTCTTACGACAAACTCCACATGACCATTCCCTAGACCGGAGAGAAGTAGTGTAGGAGATGCGATGGTAGTGGCGTGAAATCTTGATGATGCGTGGAGAATACATACAATCGTTATGAGAAACAAAGTTGCATCTAAGACACACGTAGGTGGGATAGTTACTTCTGAGTAAACCACAAACATCGCAAGTTAAGGAAGCTTGTCTAGGAAAAAAAGTGAGCGGATGGTCATGGCTTTTTGGTTGGTCTACAACGAACAGTACCGACTTCATCGCACAAATTGTATGCATTACAACTTCACATTTGGTACAATAATATACCAAATTGTTTGCTTCTCTTCCACAACATAAACAATCTGCATCGTCTGTAGGACAATAAAAGTAAAGTTGGAAAGGGTGCTCATGATGGTAAGGATGTTTGATTG